AATGAGAGTAATCAATAATAAACTGGTGAAAGCAAACAGCGTTGTCTTGTTGGTTATTTATTTGAAGCTTCAAACGTACAGGTCTCACAGAATATAGGATAGTCTGCAGGTGTCACGATCTGTCTTTATGGTGTTTTGTCTTGTCTAGATCTGTCTTTGGTTTTCTGTCTGCGTTGTGTTTTGTCTTGTTTAGATCTGTCTGTGGTTCCCTGTCGTTAGTTTCCCTGGTGTGTCTGATTACCCGATTGTGTTCACCTGTGGCCCCTGTGTTTTCTCCTCCCTCCTCACCTGTGTCTTGTTTGTGTGATTAGTCTTGTGTGTATTTAAGTTCTGGTTTTTCTGTCTGTCTTTGTCGGTTCGTCTTGTGATTTGGCTTGTCCTCGGTGAGTGTTCTGTTCTGTCTTTGTTAGTCTAGCCTTGAAATAAAGGAATTTTCACGTTAATCTGCATTTGGGTCCTATCTGCTTCACACACCGTGACAGTACGAACCGACCAGAAATGGACCCAGCAGATGATCCATTTGAGGTGGAGCTACAGCATTTTTCCTTTTGTTTGGCTTGCTGCTGTGATTGGTGGAGTGGAGCGTCCAGTGTTCGGCAGAGGAAGGCCGCTCTGGTAGAGGTGCACCGGTTGGCTATGGAGAAACCAGACATGGTGAAGTTCTTGCCTGGCTGGATTTTGAACTTCCTCTGGGTGTGTGATTTCCAGCCTGATGACTACAAACGTCTCGGTGTGGTCCGTCTGGAGTCAGCCAGTGCTTCTGCCCCAGTTCCTGCTCCTGTCCAGGAGTCGTATGCTGGAACTCGTCTGGCTTATGGAGGTCCACGGAGCTTTCAGGCGGCTGCTAAGAGAAGGAGGCGCAAAGCCAAGCTAGCAGCCATGCCTCCATGCTCCAGTACCGGCCCACGCAGTTTTGCATCCATACTGGATTACCTGGCTTACACAGCCAGGGTCCAGGCTTCCGCTCCGGACCCAACAGCCATGGTTCCGGCTCCAGTGCCGGACCCAGCAGCCATGGTTCCGTGCTCCAGTACCATCCCACATAGCCATGGTACCGTGCTCCAGTACCACCCCACACAGCCATGGATCCGTGTTCCGGTTCCTTGCCCAGCAGCCATGGTTCCGGCTCCAGTGCCGGCCCCAACAGCCATGGTCCCTGCTCCAGAACCGGACCTTACAGCCATGTTTCCGGCTCCAAAACCGGCCCACACAGCCATGATCCAGGCTTCAGCTCCGGACCTTACAGCCATGTTTCCGGCTCCAGAACTGGATCTTACAACCGTGGTCCCTGCACCAGAGCTGGCCCATACAGCCATGGTTCCGGCCCCAGTTCCAGCCATGATTCCAGCTCAAGTACCGGGCCCAGCAGCCATGGTTCCGGCCCCAGTTCCAGCCATGGTTCCGGCTCAAGTCCCGGCTCCAGCAGTCATAGTCCCGACTCCAGCACCTCGTCTCCTGCTGGCTCCCCAGCCGACGCCAGCTCCCCGGGTCTTGTCGGTGTACAGGCCGACTCCAGCACCTCGTCTCCTGCTGGCTCCCCAGCCGACGCCAGCTCCCCGAGTCTTGTCGGCGTACCGGCCGACTCCAGCACCTCGTCTCCTGTTGGCTCTCCAGCCAACAGGAGCCAACGCCAGCTCCCCGAGTCTTGTCGGCGTACCGGCCGACTCCAGCACCTCGTCTCCTGTTGGCTCTCCAGCCAACACCAGCTCCCCGAGTCCTGTCGGCGTACCGGCCGACTCCAGCACCTCGTCTCTTGTTGGCTCTCCAGCCAACGCCATCTCCCGTGTCCTGTCAGCGTACCGACCGACACAAGTCCCCTCTCAAGTCCCCTCTCAAGTCCCCTCTCGAGTTCCCTCTCAAGTTTCCTCTCGGGTCCCCTCTTGAGTCCCCTCTCGAGTTCCTCTCAGTCTCGAGTCCCCTCTCAAGTCTCCTCTCCAGTTCCCTCTCGAGTCCCCTCTCAAGTCAACTCTCAAGTATCCTCTCGAGTCTCCGATCAAGTTCCCTCTCGAGATTCCTCTCAAGCCCTCTCTCGAGTTCCCACTCAAGTCCCTACTCAAGTCCCTACTCAAGTGCCGTTGGAGGTTCCGCTGGGGATCCTGCCAGCACCTTGTCCCGTTGGAGGCCCCGCCGACTACTCTCCTGCCGGGGGTCCTGCCAATCCTGTGTCCTGTGCCGTTGGAGGCCCCGCCGACTACTCTCCTGCCGGGGGGTCCTGCCAACCCTTTGTCCTGTCTCGTTGGAGGTCCCGCCGTCTACTCTCCTGCCAGGGGTCCTGCCAATGCTGTGTCCTGTGCCATTGGAGGCCACGCCGACTACTCTCCTGCCGGGGGTCCTGCCAATCCTGTGTCCTGTGCCGTTGGAGGCCCCGCCGACTACTCTCCTGCCGGGGGTCCTGCCAACCCTGTGTCCTGTCCCGTTGGAGGCCCCGCCGACTACTCTCCTGCCGGGGGTCCTGACAATCCTTTGTCCTGTCTCGTTGGAGGTCCCGCCGACTACTCTCCTGCCGGGGGTCCTGCCAACCCTGTGTCCTGTCCCGTTGGAGGCCCCGCCGACTACTCTCCTGCCGGGGGTCCTGCCAACCCTTTGTCCTGTCTCGTTGGAGGTCCCGCCGTCTACTCTCCTGCCGGGGGTCCTGCCAATCCTATGTCTTGTGCCGTTGGAGGCCCCGCCGACTACTCTCCTGCCGGGGCTCCTGCCAACCCTGTGTCCTATGCCGTTGGAGGCCCCGCCGACTACTCTTCTACCGGGGATCCTGCCAACCCCATGTCCTGTTTCGTTGGAGGCCTCGACATCACATGTCTCGCCAGGGGTCCTGCCAACTCCTTGTCCTCTTCCGTGGGGAATCTTGCCGACACCTGTTCCACCGGCTCTGGTTTCTGTCCGGTCAACACCGGCTCCTGCCCGGTCCCCTGAGAGCTGTGGTATTCGCCCCTCGTCGAACTCTGCCTTGCTCCCGGCCCGTCCGCCCGAATACCCCTTTTTGAACTCTGCCTTGCCCCCGGGCCGTCCGCCCGAGAACCCCTCCTTGAACTCTGCCTTGCCCCCGGGCCGTCCGCCCGAGATCCCTTCCTGGTCCTCTGCTGTGCTCCTGGGCGGTCAGCTCAGTCCCGTCCTCCTGACCCCCTCCACCCACCCTGGTGGCCTAGTGATAGTGTTTTCTCCTCCCTCCTCACCTGTGTCTTGTTTGTGTGTATTTAAGTTCTGGTTTTTCTGTCTGTCTTTGTCGGTTCGTCTTGTGATTTGGCTTCTCCTCTGTGTTCTGTCTTTGTTAGTCTAGCCTTGAAATAAAGGAATTTTCACGTTAATCTGCATTTGGGTCCTATCTGCTCCACACACCGTGACGGCAGGTGTGTGCGCAATAGTCACAGAATAGAAAAGCGTATAGATAGGGCGGGCAGACAGAGTTTTGTGTAGCATAGCGGAACGCCTCAGAAATCTGCTTTCACACGGATGTCATATCGCTATTAGACACCTGTGTCCTTGAGCTGTCGAAAGTAAAACGGTTATCAGCATATGGAAGTTCAAACTTAGTGTGAAGAGGAGTAGTTTCAAGTCTGCCAAATCAGCTCTGTGACCTTGAAGCGCTTCAGAATAATAACCCTCATTAGAGTACGCAGAGAAAACAGCACATATCAAGAAATTGTACAGTAGTGTTAGACAATGCTTTTAGAAGCATTTGGTTTGACCATATACTGTAAGGTAACATAAGAAATTGCCACTACAATTTGTATTTACAGTAAAATTAAAAAATTGCATAATATTGGAGCCTTATTTAGATTTCTCAACTATTACCTGTTACAGAAAGTACAAGATAGGAAGAACTGAGACTTTATATATAATTTTAACAGTGAATCTTCATGCTGGCCTTTAAGTTAGTTCACAATGCCTAATTTCTGAACCCATCTAACAAACAAGCAGCATAAACATACATGATAGTCTGTTTTTGTTAATCTGTTAATCTGATCTGATTTTGTCTGTCCAGTTCAATCTAACCTGTGGGACCTTAATTCAGACAGACGATGACATTTTTCCCAAAATATTTAAGGGAAAAGTTTAAAGATATACCTCATGGAGGGCAATCGAGGCAGGATGCCTCGCAGGACGGAAATGCAAACGATATTCTAAAAAATAATTTAGAATGCGACTAGGAAAAATAAAATACAGTGTGTGTATATATATATTTATATTTCATCTGCATGAAAATGAACATTTATTGAGGGGTTTTCTAATAATATCGCCAATAGGAATATAGCCTATAGGCCAATATATAAGGTGAATAGAATATGACCAAGTACAGAGCCTTATGGGACTCCATTATATCTTTGGCTTGTCTAATGTTTCCCTTTATATTTAAGTAACTTGTTAATTACCAAGTGAGACCATATTCTTGGTATTTCGTACATTCAGTTAGTAAGATATACTGTGAGTGGTATTGGTGTAAAAATAATGTTTCTGCATGTTGGTTGATAGTGTAATATACAAATGTCTACATCCCTTTTGTTTATGTGACAGGAATAAAAATAATCAACTTACAATTTTCTTTTCCCAAAAAATATATGTTTTTATTTATTAAAACGTAACAAATGTAGAAAACATACACAGTTTTGCTCAAAGCAAATGTAGTATACAAAATGAAAAGCATGTTCAAAAAGTCCAAAAAGACAAATACATAATCAATGACTACACAGATATCTATCTACATAAATAAATAAATAAACAAATAAACAAACAATTAAATAAATACATCAATAAATACATCAATAAGTTTAAGATTAAATAAATAAGTTTAGGATTAAAGCTGCATGTAACAAAAATAAATTACCACATTTGTGATAGACAGAGATTACTCATAGAGTAAGAGAACAAGCAGGCTCTCATGCAGCTTACATTATTTTAAAAAAACTCAATATTTCAATAAATAAAAAGGTAAAAAATAGATAAATAATTAAAGGTAATAATGTTCGCAAATAAATTAACACATGGTCATTGTGTGACAGGTGTTAGTTGGTGAGAAGAGAACAAGCCAGCAGGTCTGCTCTCACAAGATGGGTTTTCATCTTATTCCTGATCAGCTCCCAGGCCTCAGCACTGTGGTCCTGCACACAGAAGAATATCATCAATATTAAAGTGTTATATATATAGATAGATAGATAGATAGATAGATAGATAGATAGATATATAGATAGATAGATATATAGATAGATAGACAGACTTACCATTTTTTTCAGGACATGGCTTGAGAGTCTTTGGAAATACCTGTGTAGCTTCCTGTTCTCATTCTTGTGGGTCCCAATCTAAATATATTACAAGAAAATGAATATTAAAACACCTGTCATTTACTCACAGTTGTGTAAACACTTGCACATGTGTTGTGTCAGGACTTTAATGTAAAAGAGATCTAACTAAATGTTGTGTACTTACACATGAGCGAAGGCCTTGTTCCTGCCTGGTTAGAAACTGGAGGAAGTTCTCCTCTGTGTTCTCCTCCCATGATGCTTTGCTGGTATCCTCCTCAAACAGGACAACCACCTCTTTCAGAATCTGAACTAGGAAATGGAGTCTGTCCTCAGCCTGGAAGAAGGTGATCAATCACAGATTACAAAAGGAACAGATGCACTGATTTCAATCAAACTAACTTGATATATTGAAAGAAAATGATCCCATGTGTTTGGATTTTGATATTTATTCCAAAAGTTGAGGCTGACTTACTGATGCTTTGGATGCCTTTTTGTACAGACGGTAAGGGAAGCCCACTCTAGCATCCACAGTGGTGTTGGTGGAGTTGTTAGCCTGCATCACACACAAACACACACATCATGAAGTAAACAGTCAATAAAGTAAACTCATCTAATGACTTGAAAGCAAAATCCAAAGAGGTGCACTTACCATGGTATCTATTAGATCCAAAGAGTGTTTACTGAACTGTTGAAATTTATGCTGCATCCATCTGCAGCTCAGAGAGGAGCCTGCAGTCCACAGACTGAGAGACAGGCACACGAAGAACATTCCTTTGAGCATTTTTTAAAAGGTACAAATGTTCTTTGTATGGAGAAAATAGTGATTTCTCTTGTTGGCTATATAGTGGAAGTGAGGAACCAGAGCTGCAGCACCTAATTTATACTGTAGGGCGCACTTTCATTTTCCCATACGGGATTACCCGCAGTCAACCTCAAACTGTAACATGATTTCACACACTTTTCGGATTCCAATTAGTCCTCTAATTATATGTGCAACATTATTTTATAGTTGCATTTAATTTTTTTAATTCAAGCTTAAATACTGCACCACATTTTGAGAGGTTATACCGTCATACAATAAAGAGCATTCGAGTAGCCTATACAATTAAACTAATCTCATCATTTATTATAAAACAGATTGTCTGTTAGGTTTAATGTTTGGTGTAACGTAATTTATTTTTCAATTAATGTATAACACCATTATTTTTTTCTTGAATAATTCTAAAAAGAAATCCAAAGAAAATCTAATTGGGTCTTTAAGTTGTTTTATGTTCACACTTAAACACATTTTAGTTTAGTTTAGTGTTTTGGAGATTAGGATGCAAGAACATACTTTTATACATATAGTTTAATTTCAATCTTCAGGCTATTTTTGTGATAGAAATGTGTTTCAAATGTATAAATATGTGTTTTAAACAACAAACAAGTTCTTATTATTGGCATATCAGTGTTTTACGGTTTCATTACATTTGTAATTAATGTTTACACATGTCATAAAAAAAAAGAAAGTGCTTCCCCCAAAGTGAAAGTAAAAGTGACACCGAGCTGCGTTACGTAACACTGTGACGTTCTCAGACTGCAAAGTGAAATCACGTCATGACGTTTCTCCAGGAGACTTGGAAAGAGGAACGACAGATAAGCCTTTATTAAACTCCAGAGGGGGAATTCAGCTGTTTCCTTCGCATTTCATCATCTTCTTTAGTGTATTATTACATTTCCATTTCCATCTATTGTTCTTGATTGGCTTCATTTTATTACACGCATACAGTCACTATAATAGGCTACGTCTGCATTTGTTCATTGTGTTAATATTCTAGTGCATGCTTTTTCTCCTTAAACAGTATGTGGGATATCGAACACTCCCTTTTTAAAGTAGCTTACATACATAACAAATAGGAAAATAAATATAAATCCAAACTACACAAGAGCAATAAAGTGAAAATCACAGCAAGGTTGATGTTTTACGAATGTTGTATGTTGACACAGACATACGAGAAGTTCAAGGGTTAACATTCAATGACAACCAATAAAGTAATAATAATAGGAGATATCATTATTGGTATACAAATGCCCCTGTTGGCAGTTTTTGATTAATAATTGTTTGCAGTAAATCACTGTGTTTTAAAACTGCAGTTGTTTGAGAAATGGATTGTTATTCATCAAAAACAACCTATTGTTGGGAGATAATTTCATCTCTCTATCTGTTTATTATATTTTCACATTAATTGTACTTGCCTGCTTATAATTTATGACACAAACAGAAAAACATGCTAAAGTAATTTAAAAGTGTGTGGGTAATTTGGTGGAGTTACTATACAGTTTACAAGTTGCGTAATGTGTGATGGAAACTTCCAGGAGCTGTGTTGTAACAGTCAGGAACTCTGAGAGGACAGACTGGGAACATGAAGTTCTCTCATGTCAGCAATACAGCCACAACATCAGCACGCCTCAAAAGCTGTGCTGCCTTTACGTGTGACTCGTAAACAATAACTACCACTGCAGAACGACTTTTACCGCTTTTTCCCACTAATTGTTATGATTAAGTGAGTAATTTATGTTAGTGAAAAAATGACAGCTATACTAATGTTAGTTATCTTATTTAAGTTGAATAATTGCATACTACACATATAAGCGCAATAACATCATTAATAATGTCAATGCTATTTGTATAGTAATAAATACCCTTTTGTGGTATTTTGTATACTTCTTCTAGTTGCACTGATCAGAACAAAAGCTGTAGGATATTCGGATCCGTTTGAGACATGATGATGAGGTATCTTTATTTTCTGTTAAATGTTGGTTGTGTACATTCCTGTCACGCTCATGTCATTGTTACTGTATTTCATGTAGAGCCTGAAGGCATCACTGGTTAAGTTCCCATGATGCATCTGTCTTCAGCTGGATGGTGATAGTGACAAGAGAGCTCTCACCTCTCCAGGAAACAAATCTTATTTAACGATATTTTTTGCGTTTTTGGTGTTTTCAAAGCTACGGAGAGCGACTGTACGGATTGACATGACTTTAACGTACATTTACTGAATTTATAGCCATTTCCGGAGGATATTGCGGGTGCCTAGACCTTAATGGCAAGTTAGCCAGCCTTGTTTCGGTAAGAAAGCTAACGTTAACCGCTACTAACACCACATTATTCAGCCTCACGTTTACTGTTAATGTCATGTTTTATGGATTCAACTGAACTGCTATGTGAATTGTGCTTTACATCTTGTTTCCTGTTACCTTTGTTTACTATTACGATGGGTCAAGCGTCCCTGTCGAGCCTAAATTCCCACACACGCCCAAAACAGAAGCTAACTAAAAATTGGCAACTTGCTGTACAGTATTGTTGACGATTATGGAGATGTGATGTTATGCTAGTTTTTACTTAAACATGTCTCAACATGCTGCTGTAAGGTCAATTATTCACCACACTGTATTTTCTAATAATGTTGTTAAATAATCCCTTGTTCCCTTCTCAGTAGCTTGTTACTCTAGGTTTTATATACTGTACAACACTATTATGATACTGTTATATTTGATATCTATTCAATTCTATGTTATATTGGTGTACTACACACCCCATTATGTCATATCTTACACCATGTTATTTCATATACTAGATATTATATTATTGTACTATAGCACATACTATATGGTACTTCGAGCGGCCACCATTATCGATTAGTCGATCACCAGAGAAATTATCATTGTATTATTCAAAACAATTGATCGTTTATTTTTCTTTCAACATATCAAACATGCTGTTTTTGTCCTTATTACATATGGAGATATCTTGCTTTTCTTAGATATTTTAAGATATCACTTTACACGTTTTGTTTACTATGACATATTATAGGCCAAATGATGATTAATCTAAAGAATCGTCTGCAGATAAATTGGACATATTTAGTTGCAGCCCTCACCTGTATGTTATGCTATCTTATGTACTATACTCAACCCATATACTTTTTCTCATTATTGTACTGTAATAGTTATATCTTTTATATATAAAATATATGATGTTATGCAATGTTACTACACCACTACACCTTGTTAAGCATCACATACTGTATCATATTGTACCATGATACTAACGATATTACGGTTATATGTTACATTGAATCTGGTTCTGTATTGTATTGTGTCAAACATGATTGTCCCCTCTTTATAAATGAAGTGTACAAATTGTTGAGTCAGCTGCTATTAATCACCACTCACTTAACAATGTCTCTAAATCTCTATTTTTGAGGAGCAATAAAGCTCTTAAACAGTTTAAAGCTAATCTTATCTGCGTGTTGATCATGTCAGGAAATCTGAGTGAAATACTGAGTGGGTCCTGATTTGCCCTCTAAGTGCTTTTTTTTTAGGAAGTTAGTCCTGAGGCATTTTGTTGCTACTTCCCTGCTGACACCACCACTCTTTTAATCAGCGTCCTCACATGACTCAGTTACAAAGCAGTCCCTTACTGAAACCATGAAAGAGCAGATATGTATCAGAACTCAGTCTCGTGATTGCAAATGTAATGATAGCTCAGTGTACTTGTAAAATGTAGTGAGGAAGGAAGGAGAAGGAAAAAAAACAGCTTCCTTTATTATCACATGCTTTGCCTTTTGCACAGCTTGTTTGTTCATCTTTACTATTAAATGTCATGTCATTGGGGAAGCAGGGGTCAATATCGTGGTTATTAGAGAAGTTCAAGTTTTGAATAGTCTTTTGTTTGATATGTTTCAGTTTACCATGTGGGCGTAAACCTTCCCAGAAGATGCCATGCTAGCTACACAGATGCCAGATACGCCACCTGAGGCTAAAGATGTCAAACAGGTAAAACCACAGGCTTTTACCACATATGATCTTGTTACTTTGTAGCTGCTTTCACTTTGCCCCTCTGCTAAATGTGAAGGTGTCAAGTTGATCTTTATTTGCTCATGGAGTTTGTCTCAACATAGACAGGTTGTGACATGGAACATGTTGTAACTGTACTTCACATTATACCACTTCTGCCCTGATCTTAACTCAGTGATTGATGTATGGCAAACTTATTTTTACAGTCAAGTCTATGTTATTTATATAGATATACATTTTGAATGTATGTATTTATGTTAACCGTTTCATAGGACAGGCCTAGGCTCATTATACATTCAGCACATGTATGAAAAACATCATACATGACAAATTAATATGAGAAGAACGTATAAGATAGGACACTATTACATATAGCAATTTAAACACATGTGATATTATTAGATAAAAGGTTCTTCAAGTGAATTTAATGTTTAAAAAGTCTTGGAAAACCCTTCGCACAATGTACTGTAAGTCTGTTTTAATATAGTTGTTTACAACAGGACTTGCAGACAGTGTACCAATGTACTGCTGACTTGCTGAATAAATGTATGTGAGTCATGGGGAGACTATGAGGCAGGCAAGTAACTGGTCCTAGATTATTTCATTTAGCTGTGAGTAGGGTTGGGAACCGAAACTCGGTTCCAGATGAGAACCGATAAGAAAATGCCGGGTACCGGGTACCCATACAAAATACACAATTTTGGTTCTGCTTAACGGTTCCTAAACGCGGTAGACCCTGTATTCCACCGGGTCCGTCTGCGCTGCGGTGACCCGGTGGAATACATAGCATTCTGAGTTTTGCAGAAGTAAGCAACCTATACCATAATGTAGGTTATGTTTATGTTCTCTGTCTGTCCATGTCAGCTGACAGCAGGTGTCATGTGACTGTAGATAATCTAAAGGCCTCTGTTGTAACCCCATGGCCACTAACCTCACTCAATCTATTCCCCATCAAGATAGAGATTGGAATGAAGAAATGTTGATTAG